TTTTTTGGTGAGAAACGGGAGCTGGTTCAGTGGAAAAAGCTAACACAGGGCTTGGTTATTTGCCGCGTTACTGAAAAGAGGGAAGGCAGGAGCCATTTGGAGGAATTGCAGTGTCCCAAGAAGGCTGGGAATGCTCCTGCAGCCTGCAGAGGAGTCAGCTCTCCTGTCACTGCTTTCTGCCCCGCGCTGAGGCAAAAAGCCAGCGCGTTGGGAGCGATTTGTATAATGCAAAATCGCAGGAAAAGTGTGGCACAGAARTGACAAAGCGTTTTATGGGGGCATTTCACATTGCGAGAATTGGGCTGCCCTTAATTCGTTTGAAAGAAGTTCAAGGGGAAATGTTTCTTCTGCTGAAAAGAAAAAATCAGCCCTGGGAGTAGCTCCGACTGTGGTATTTTTGAGCAAACTGTCAGTGTGTTAAGGGACGGATTTTTCAGTGGTGCTGAGAACCTGTCACTCTCACCGAATTCAAYTCAAATTGCAGCTCTGGAAACTGTATCCGAGAAGCGGGTACCGCTCACAGCTGCCCTCGCAGCCCCAGCAAAGGCACCTGGCAGCAGCGGCTTGGCTAGCGGCGCCTTCCCGTGCGAGCCCTGCCAAAGCCGGGCTCAAAGCGCAGGTCCCCGCGCCGAGCTGCTCTTGCACCCGAGGCAGCCCCGCGCGTGGYGCCCGTGCCCTCTGCGGGCAGCAGCAACCTTGTGTCGCCTCGCCGAGCTTGCGGTGCTGAGCGGCATTAATTCTGCAAATCTAGACGTGGAAAACTGTTAGTTTTTATTTTAAAGTTGACATTTTTTTTCTTTTTTTTTTCTTTTTTTCTCATTTGATTCAGACTTACTCCAATAGCTCATAAAATGCCCCAGAAAAAGCACAGACAAGGGAAAAATTACCGCGATTGGACTCGTGAGGAATGAATAAACCCCTTTGGATTTAGCATGTGTGCTAGTCCCGCACGCAGGACTTGAACCTCCTTTAGGGCCAGCTCGCAATAGAAGGGGCAGCAGGTTGGGTCTGGCCGTTGGAGCTGGCTCGTGGTTGGAGCTGTGGCCCGGGCGCTCTGGGTCTCCCCGTGGCTCGTTCTGCTGCAGCRGACGCGTCGTGTCCTTGCGGCACTGCTGCTTCTTCCCGAGGAACTGGAGCTTTGGGACAGCTGGGAAAGGGAGAACTGCTCCGGTCGGGCTGGTGCGGRCAGAGCATCCGCTCTGGTTTTAACCTGCCTGCTGCAGTATTTGGCAATGGAGCCCTTTGCTGCAGGACCCTGTGGAGAAATAGAAGTGGTTTCCAAAGGGACAGGGCTGCTCTGTAGAGGACCATGGCCCGGAGATGGCAACCTGCAGCTTGGGGAGCCACTAGTCTCGCTGGAGCCTGCAAGGATGCACGGGGGCACAGTGCTCCATTCCTGCCCTGGTTTATACACGCATGTAGAAACAGCGAAAAGATCCGGCTTATTGAGAAGAACTGGGATAGCCCATGGTGCCACTCGGCGCAGTTCAGGGGATGCCTCGTCGCGGACCTTGAGAGGTTCCTCCGACACTCGGGACTGCCCGTGTTCCCTTGGCTCTCTCTGCGAGTGGCTCTCCTGGCTGCCCCCCGCGGCCGCAGGCTCTCGAGACCCAGCGTGGTCGGGAAGAGCAGGATTTGGGATGCACCTTAGTGAAATCTAGCTGCATCCCACRTTGGATTCCTTCCTCATCCGTGTAGCCGATGCACAAGAGGGGAATCCACAGAGTGAACGTTGTACCCGCTGGTTACACAGCCCTGAGCATCCTCACAAAGATGCTGCAATATAATTTGGGGCAATATATATTTTTAGGGCACTAGTTTGAGCTGTCTGCTTGATAAACACGACTGCTTTCTTCTTGCATGAGTAATCTTTACTCATCCCCATACTGCTGCATATTCCTGCTTGCAGCAACGCTCTTTTATTCATGAGAACAAATGTTGAATTAAAAGAACCAGATAACTATCAGGGAAAAGAAGCTGAAAGTTTTTTCTTTCTTTTTTTTGTTACATTGCTTAGGTTAACTTCAATTTCCCTCTTAGGGTCGCAGTTACGAGATTATTCTATCAAATATCTTATACTGTTGGGTTTATTTCKTTTTCTTTTTTTTTCTTTCTCCTTCCATCCCTGAGTCCTAGACTTTGAAGAGAAAAACATTTGTGTTTTTCACATTTTCTGGGACTTTTGGACATGGACAGAAGATGGGAATGCGACTCGGGCTCGAACTTGGAGTCTCAGGACAGCAAAAGGAGAGAAACAGAAAAGGCAAAAAGAAGGGCAACTTTCTATTATTAAAAAGGAAAAGTCATGCGAGTTTGAAGAAGGGARCAGACTCGATTTCTGAGCACTGGCCAGGCTGCCTCCTCTTGCTGGGTGAAACTAGATGTCGATGTGTTTGCAAAATTCCCTTTTTTTGATCAACATCGCTTTTGCTTCCTGGTTCTCATGCTTTTCTCATAGTTTGCTGATGGTGTTTGTGTTTTCAGCCTACCCGCACAAAGCTTCCAACTTCTTAATGTGAAAAAGGTTTTGCTGAAGGATTTAATTTTAAAAAATTTTTATCCCCCTCTCCCTTAATAGAATGAAAACATTTCTGTGAAAATTTAAGATTTTGAAATCTCGCAGTGCTGAAAGGTTGGGTCTAAACTGCTAGAAGGCTTTTGATGAGCATCAGCTTTCTGACAGCTGCACCAAGTTTCCACTCCTAGGCAGCCGCTTTTCCGTCTTTYTGAGCAGGTATAAAGCAGTGATCGCATGGGAAAATATTATCTCAGGGCCCATTTGTGCAATCCGTACAGGAGTCATTGCATGCAAGTCAATGGGCCGCTTATGCGTGCGCCAATTGATGAGTATTAGCATTAAAAGACGTGACCAGCTGCCTCAAACCATGCAAATACTTGGTTTTCTCAAGGCYGGGAATATTTCTGTTGCAGATATCCATCGGCTTTGCTGCCTCCCTTCGGGGACATGGTGTTTTTGCCATTGAGCAGAGGTGCAACCTGCATCCACGTGTGTGATGCCTGGAAAGCAAGAACAGGAGCAGGAGTGGAACATGAGCAGGAGTGGAACATAACCAGGAGGGGCTAAAAGGTTAAGGTGAACTTTAAGTCTGAACGCATTGA